ACATTTTTTTTTTTTTTTTTTTTACACGTTGCCCTCTTATTGTAGTTGACGAAGCGATGAAACGAAAACGCAATAAGTAAAATGATTTTGTCCTTTTCTTCATACATTCTTCTCCCTACGAGCTCATTAGCATTTAAATATTAAACATCCCTTATAACGCATAAACATCTTTAGTTAAAGCAGACAAAATGTTCGTATACTATAAAATATTGATTTACAGTACTTCACGACATAATCTCGTGGATCTACAATTTTAACTGAACTTTCATAATACAATTTACTCACCACTTTTATAATTAATTTTTTAACCAAATTATTTCAGAAATTAAAGTAAAAGTCTTTTTAAACTGTGAGTTTTTATCATTCATAAAAGTAGATAGATTTTGGTACGATTCAAAGTCAATTATTATATTATTAATAATTATATTTCCTTCCTAAAAAAAATATAACGTTATTGGAAAATTATAATTAATTATCTCAACAAATTTATTTATTATTAAGAACTTGGTAGGCTAGCATCTGTTTGTTAATGAAAGTAAGAAAATTTTTTGATAATTTAAAAAATTAGAAAACACATTAAAAATTTTAATCTATTACATTAATCTATACGATTTTAGTGGAAAGAATTATTTTTATTTAATTCTTTAAAAGAGAAAATTTGCAATTCTAATAATAATGTTAAAGATTCACTGAAACTGGGATGTGAAAAATACATGTAAAACTGTATTCTATCAATATCATTATTAAAGCATATAAATAAATCATTAATTTTAATTTTACATTATATCATAAGCAATTGTTCTTGCTCGGGTATGTAAAATTTTTGTTAAAAAATCTTTATCCAAGCTGTCAGTCTAATAAACGAAGAATAGCAATTAATATGAAAAAGGGGCTGAAAAAAGGAAAGGGACCTTATATAAAGTCGAGTCTCTCTTCACGCATTATCATAAAAGAGGAACTGAGCGGTTGAGAAGTTGGTGATGCTGCTAATTGGACACATCTAGTTGGCGGTTATCTTCCAATGTTGTGGACTCTTTAACTACCTTTTTAAGTGTACGAGGTAAAAGAATCCAACACGCCCATGTAAACGGGATCGTATAACGCGCACTTTTTTACCAAGAGGGTCTTTTCGACTGAATAACTGTGAAGAGAAGAACGGGAGAATGAGAGAGTGAGAGAGAGTGAGAGAGAGAGAGAGAGAGTGAGAGAGAGAGTGGGAGAGTGAGAGAGTGAGAGAGAGAGAGAGAGAGAGAGAGTGAGAGTGAGTGAGCAAGGGAAATGATTGTCCGAGACACTTATTGGATATACCACTATTGTCGTATGTTGCACCACTATGGTGCACTATCAAATGCCATCTTTATGCCTGAGTTTTCGTTTTGTTTCTCGCTTTTGTCGAACGCTTTACATTTTTTTTATAAGCTCATTAGTCTGAAGGCGAATAACGATTTTTCATAATAGGTACTACTACGATAGATCGAAAGAATAATAAGTTACTTAAATATAGTCGATACAATTAAATCTTTCTTTTTTAAATAAAATCATTGATGAACTGTCAAAGGGATTCAAGTACATTATGTCTTCTGTAGACCCATTGCTTTTATATATATATATATATATATATATTTTTTTTTCCGTTTAATATCACAATGTACTTATATTTGAAAACGAGATCTCAAACACATTAATTTCAATAATTTTCTTTCTGATTAATTTGAAATCATAATATTCATAATAATAATAATAACGATAAGACTATGTACATATATTTTTCCAAAGAAGCTTTCTATTTACATTAAAAATTTTCAATTCAAATGAAAAACTTTTTTTTTTCGCCACTGACATTGAAATAATCTTCAAATTAAATAAAGTAGTTAGTCTGATTTTATAATAACATTAATTATATATCTATTTATCAATTAGTTTATATATGTAATTTAAATTGAAATATATATACATTTAATAATAAATAATACTTAATTATCGACATGTTCTAACTTTTGAAAAAATCAATTATATAGACAAGAATGAAAATCTACAGTGTATATTAGATTGGATTATAAAATTAGTTGAATTTTTTCAATATATATATATATATAAGATAATATAATTTATTTATTTAATTAATTAAGCAATTTACATCCATTCCAATTTCAATAATTTTTTTTTTTTTTTAATTTATTTTCTAGTTATTCTTCATAAACTTTTGAAAGTAATCATTATGTTCCGAATGTTAGCTGAATAGAAAGTGTTTTTTTTTTTTTTTTTTTGAATAGTTAAAATATTGTTTAATTACCATAAATTATCGTTTTCTAATAATAAATTATGAAATCTTAAATGAATGAAATTCAATTGTATCACATATTCTAAGCATTGATAATGTACTTAAAGATAAATACGTATACTTATAATATGTACATTAATTATGTATTTAAAAAATTATATAATTTAATGGTAATGAATAATTTTTATAATTAAGCACTATTTCGTATATCGTAGTAAAATACTAATGAATATCAGCATTGAGTTTCTCTTCATTTACATGGTAAATTCAATATTGAACATAATTCTTATTCTATGATTTTATATGATATTCATTCATTGTGAGTAAGGGCATATAATGTTAAGTTAATGCAAATGCAGGTAATCGAAAATATATGTTTTTGCGAATGGCGTATTATTTGAAACTTATCACGGAGAAAACTGATGGCCGGAAAAAAATTAAAATTTAGTGACCAGATGCGAGTGCGAGCGCGTTTCTAGAAAGTCAAAGGTATATGTGAAGAACTGGGTAAAATGATCCAAGAGAGTGAGAAAATACATTACTACTGTTACTACCAACATTCACAATGTTGTATAAGTCTCAACAAGTAACGTACAAGATAACAAATTTATAAAAAGCTATTTTATTATATAAGAAAATTTAAGATTTCGTGAAAAATCAGCAGTTTGTGAATTATTTAGTAAGTAATGTAAAAGATTAGTGAAATTTTATGTATAAAAGCTGAAAGAAATTACTTAGAATAAATTGTGTGCTATTTGATTATATAATTCAAGTTTGTTAACGTAACGAACTTAATCAATAATGTTTTTCATTAATAGAATCGCATTTTTTCTTTTAACATAAAAGGACAATCCATACAAACTTATTGTCCATCTCTATCGGAGTTTCATCGCCATCCAATATATTTTATCGCTTTTTTTTTTTTTTTTTAATTATATAATTTTATATTTAGCTATCTTTAGCTGCATCAAATGAATAAACTTTAAATAAACTAATAGAAAGAGATTTTCGATTTATGTAAGCATACTGTAAATTCAATGGATTAATTCCCATATCTTAATTTATGAATAATTTTTGAAGAATCATAAAACTTGTTGAAATATTTAATCTTTTAATTTTCTACAATTTTTCCTAGCTACAGCATCAAATAGTTGGACTAGAATCTAGAAACGTAAATTATAAAACTGAACTAAAGCGCTAAGTTTCGTATAAATTTCTATGATGGTTTCTATCTATCAGAACGTAACATACAGTTTTGAGCTCAGCATCACTTTCATTTCTCCACACATTATTTGAGCTCGAGCCGAAGTAGGAAACGGCAATGCACGGGTATCGCCGTTTCCTCCCTTCCCCCGCTGCCGCAAGTAACTCCTTTCTACGTACCATGGCTCTCGACTTTCGTGTCGATTAATAATCACGCGAGGCAGCAGCGCAAAAAGCGACTCAGTCGCAGCAAAACCATGAGGAAAGAGAAGGAGGGAAGGAGACAGAGAGAGAGAGAGAGAGGGGGGGGTGAGGAGGAGGAGGAGGAGGAGGAGGAGGAGGAGTACACAGTCCAACGTATTCGTTGTTCATGGGATCTGAGATTAAGATGCGAGTCTCGTAGTCACCGTTTCCTCTGACCCGAGTGCGTGCGTCAACCCGTAGCCTCGTGGCCCACTGACTTCCTATCTCCTTCTCTCTCATTTTCTCTCTCGACGATCCAGAAACGAAACGTGCTATATGTGCATCTCACTGCAGTCCTTTGTATCCGATATCCGATATCCTCTTTTTTCATACGACGTGCAAAATGCATTTGCCCATAAATCATCGGTGCCTAGGTTATCGATTGTCACTGCTGTACATTGCTTCGTCCTTGCATATTTATTCTTATCCAGAGCGGCTGTCCGAACGTTGCGAATTTAATTGCACGCAATGTTCGATAGATGCGTTGAGTATCGTTTCACGCGATTCCCTCATTTTCGCACCTTGGCTTTTCTCCCGTATCGGGACGATGTAATAATTTACAGGCCTTTTTCCCATCTCAAAACTTAACAAGCGAACGAACCACCAAAGTTCTTTTGCTTACTCCTTAAACGGAACATCCAAGACGATGGGCTCTCTTGCGCTTACGTTCTTATAAGCAGAGATTCAATTTACCAAGAACAGATTGTACGCGAATTCCCGATACGTTCTAACCAGCGGAATATAGCGTTATACTATCCTACTTAAAAAGAATATTTCTAATCGCTGGAAAGTTTTATATTCCGTAGCATTGGTATCGCGCTCTTTTTGAACAAATACGAAACTGGTTTGCTATTAGCCTAGCTATGACTGCACAATATAAGTGTTTATAGAAATGTATATATATATATATATATATTTTTTTTTTTTATTTTACTTATTCACAGCACCAAAACCTATAAAGTAAGCAAAAGGCGCGGCTGTCCGAGAAAAATACTTGCTTTTATGTTTTACAAAAGTTTTCGAGACAAGATAATAAAAGAAAAAGAAAAGAAAAATAGTTTCTACCATTCTGCAATTCTCCAAGATAAGAAAATCAAAATAGCCTCGCGCTTCGAATCTTTGTTTGGGTCCTTTAAAGCAAAAAGAGTAACGCGAAACAATGACACAAGTGCGTGCATCAGCGGTTAAGTCGTATTTTTCATTTTTTCCAGAAACAAGGTGAGACAGCGACGGAGGAGGGGACACACAGAGAGGGAGAGAGAGAGAGAGAGAGAGAGAGAGAGAGTTCTCGCGACGATGGAGTCCTGGTTGAGTGAAGTGCAACGCGTGCGAATCCCTCGGCCAAAGTTCGGCAGTGGGAATTCGGTGCGGCGCTCCAACTCGAGCGTCCAGCATATCCGCCCGGAGACGAGGCAGGCAGCCCAGGAGGTCGCCAAAGCCACGGAGGAGCTGCGTCAGGCGCTTCAAGAGAAGCTGTGATACGGAGGTGTGGCACGAGTCGTCGTTGCTGTCGTCGTCGTCGTCGTCGTCGACGTTGCTATTACGAAGAGCGGAGGGAGAGGATGCCGGTCCCTATGGTCCCGATGATCCCGATGAATCCCAAGGATAAGCGCAAGCAGCTGATTATCGATAATACACTGGGACATGGTTTAATTATAAAATCCGATCGCGTATTCGCTAATTGTGAGGATGTGCATATTGGATAGCTAAATTGCGCCGTTTTTCACGAGATAAATGATCGTCCGATGCCGGCGATAAATTGTTCAAGGCTTGGCTCGTCAGTTATGTTATCGTTGCTAGTGTCAGCATCGCGATAACTTTGGCTAAGGTTAATGCTTTATGCACTATTTATTCGATAAGGCAATTTGACCATCCAAGCTAAAAATATTTGATCGGATTAAGCATAGCCCATCCGAGCATGGCTTTCTGTCTACGAGAACAGCTAGATGACATTTCTTCGCGAGTATAAATGAAAAAATCTTTTTTTGCCGTTATAATAACGCGTTCGTACAGCCTGAGAAATATTATGTTCAAGATTTTGTTATCATATTCATTCGCTTGCATATAAACATTTCCATAAATTTACATAACGAATCGCATGAAAATATATTTAACTTTCAATTCAATAATCAATGAAATATATAATAAATTTTAGAAAGTGCTTCCGTTAAAGTGACAGTATTTTTTTTTGCAATTTATGAAATAACCATTTCTTATTAAAAACGACAAACGGTGATATATTTTCCTCTCTCTCTCTCTCTCTCTCTCTATATATATATATATATATATATAGATGTTAAATGTTATATATAAATGTTATATATATATATATATATATATATATATAACAGACACATGCTAATTTTAGTCAATTTTTTTCTTCTTTTTTTTTCTGTTGTTGTGAATAGGCAACTTATATTTTTGTAATAGAATTTTGCAAATTTTGCACATTTATTTAACAATGTATTTGCTTAAACTTATTTAACTATTCCTTCAAAAGAATGTTTATCGAAATTAAATTTCATATACGCGTATAATTATAGTCATGCGATTCACATTTCACATAAGAAAAACATTTTGTACATATTTTCATGCAGCATAATTATACTGTTATGATTAATGTAATTGAACGTCGTAAAAAAGTACATACGCTTTAAATGTACAAAAATATTCTACATCATATAGCAGCATATTATTCTTAATCATATTATTACGTATCACCCAGGAAATAAACAATTTTCCAGATATTAATGAAGTATAATTATTATACGTGTCGCTTGTTTTATTAGCAATGTACAACCGAAGCATCGCACATAAATGTCAACATTTGGCCGAATAGTAAGATCGAAAACTTTATATTATATAAAATAAACAAGTTATGTTTAATTGAATATCACATATATTTGTATATGCATGTATTTTATACTGTTATTTTTTTAAAGCAATAAATTTACTTATGCAGTATTGGATGATTTTCATGATTAATAATTAAATACGAGTCATTTACCAGCAATATGAAAATTACTAATAGTCATTTATTTAATATATTGTATTCATAATTAATAATATAATATATTATACAAAGAATGAATAATAAATAGAAGAATTTACATCAAAATCTGTAATTTAAACAATAAATAAATATTGGATAATATTTAAAAAAAATTAATAATTTATAATTATTGATTAATAATTTATTTTGTATTTTACACTGTACATTAAAATGTGTAAAATTAGTAAGATTATTAATCTTAGTAAGAATAAATTATTTAATGCCTTTTAACAATTAAATAGTTTCATCTAGAAAAATTATAACAATAGAGAGAAAGAAGTTTAAGAATTATTAAAATTTGTTCATTAAAAACTATTCTTTCAGCTGTTATTTATTATATATCGCTCATTAACAATAGTAAATTTTAACACAAATTGTATTTACTTTTGATAAAAAAAAAGCTATTATCTTTTTTTTAATAAAATGAGCAATTTGCAATTATTTCTTGTACAACAAATATATTGCATATTTTACTTAGATTTTTGGATTTTTTGAAGAACTTTTCATCCACGTAAAATATACATGCAATATTTCTGGTATTTTGAGAATTTTGAAGAATATTAATACTATTTTAATAATATAAACTAAATGTATTTGCATGTAATATATTAAATGGAGAAATAAAAAGTATTTTATAGAAAAAAAAGCTTATTTTATAAATAAATCGTATTTGCCTTTTAAATACTCATAAATGTTATATTACTTGAGATAAGTGAATAGGTGAATGAATGTGAAAGTATTATAATATTTTTCTTATGATAGCATTATCGTGTTTAATGTTAATGTTGGCTTATATTCTTCAAAAAAAGAAAAAAAATCTAATCTCTCAATTCCACATTGATTGAATAGCAACGGTGTAGTTACTCTTACAATAATATTAATGTAAATAATGGCGAACGATCATCTTGCAAACTAGAAAGTATCGTACCCAATTATTAAACTCAGCCTGTATACTTTTGTCGGTAGTTACTTATTTTTCTCGGTAATCGGTTACCGGATATGGATCTCAAATTAAGATAATCTTAGAATAATGCCTACATATGCTGATGTCGTCATCTTGGAAGCCTTCGAGAGACATCGGGCGAAACAGTTGCTGCGTTAAAAAATCAAAAAGCAAAAGAGTTGACGAAAAGCGCACAGACACTTAAAATTTGTAAGCCAAGCGTAATTGATCATTGATCATACTGGCGGTATTTAACATCAATAGGTGTATTGATCGAAGACAAGCCTTAATCAAGCCCTATCGCGGACTTACATAGTAGCGCCTCGCTTTCGCCAGTAAAAGTGGCGGCCCGTCGTTAATAAGCGATCTTTGGCACGGAATTTTTACCTACCGAATTATTCTACCTCTTTATTGCTCGATCGTTAATTTCCGGCGATCGATCAAAGGCCACCGCGGCCCATGATTAATTAGCGAGCCGTCATTATCCGAGGCTTGTCTTTTAATTGATCGGATCCATCCTGACATCGAGCCCCCCCCCGCCCCCCACAAGCGCGCGCTACTCGTTGCTGGCGTGACTTTTCAATATTTCATTCTGCCTGAGAAGATTAGTTTTGTCACTATTAAGCACAACGATAAAAGGCCCTCGCCTTACCTTATACAAGTATCCTCTTTGAATGAACGTGTAGCTTGACAGTGCATTATCTTCCACACGTACACGTACACGTCACGAGGTACGCTGTGAAAACTTACCTCTTGTGTTACACATTTTTACGGCGATTCTAGTTCTCCAGCGGTTCTTACATACGCTATTGCTGGACAATAATATTTGTGTTTTACCTTGATGAAAAAAAAAAAAAAAAAAAAATGTCGGTAACGTTGAGCCAGTGTATAGCTAATTTAGCAATTTGAGCCTTTCATCTTTCATTTCAATCAATAAAATGTATCCTCGTTATTCACAAGGATACATCCGCTTATTGAGTGCTCTTAGCATACATCTCCCTTCTGCTAATCGCATCGACTAAAATACCTTTAATATGTACAAATTGATCTAACGGTCGATAAAACGTTTATTGCTCCTTGAGTGTCGAATGACGATTACCTTTGCCACATTAATTGCAATTTTAAGGATTGAAGTCAATAATTTCCTTTTCGTTGAATTGAGAAAAGCTTTTACGATACTCACTTCGCTGTTGAAATTAGTCCCTAACCATAATAATAATCACTTGCAATATTACTTTAAATACGTAAATAACTCCACGTCAATCATCATCTTTTATCACACACGACGTCAAGATTTAAATAACAGTGTTTGTTGTTATTTTTGTTTACAGTAGTAAGAAACGTTCAATACTTAATATTCTTATATTTTTCTGAGATTTTTCATTTGATTTATTTCAAAATAGAGATATAAAAGTATTGAAACGCGCTTGGGAAAGGTCATGAAGTAGACGCCATAACCAATCCTATAATTATCTTCAACAACAACAAAATAAAAAAAATAAAATAAAATAAACGAAACAAACAAAAAAAAAACGAAAAAAAAAGAATAGATAAAGAAACAAAGATAAAGAAGAAACGAAAACTCGCTGTATCGTTCAATAGACCGATATATTATTAATTTTCACCAACTAGGTTGGTAAGCCTTCAGTCTCACTTCACCATATAAGATTTGGAATAAAATTTCCATCTCACTGCGCACAATAAAGAAATCAAATTGGAAGGATTATTAGTTATCTTAGCATTTATAAAATTCTTCTTAAGCAACGACACACACACACACATATATATATATATATATATATATATATATATATATATATATATATATTTATTTTTCTAATCTATAAATACGCGTTGCATAAGTTAACAGTTTTTTATTTTTTATATTAAAGATTACCGCTGCAACGTGAGTCGGTAATAGGAAGATATTTCCATTTAAACGACGTAACAAAAAAATATTTAAATGCAAATGGTTTACCGAACGGCATAGCAAAGAAATGTGATAATTTCTTGGAAGAAGCTCGGGAATCTCAAAAAAAATTATTGATTGTTAAATGCATCCATGGGCCGATGAGAAAAGCTAAAATAGTTTCGTTATTAAAAAACTGGCGATGCGTACTCTCTCTCCATCTCTCTTTCCTCTAGCCGGTCCTTGGCCAGCTTGCTTCCATCTCGTCGTTCAATTAGTCGATAAACTAGCGGTAAAACCACGGCGCGAGTAGCGTTTGCCGACCAAGGGCCTATAAACTGGACACGCACATATTGGACGTAGCAAAAGCGGGAAAGAGATAGAAAGAGATGAGAGTAAGAGGGATAATAGATCTCCTTCGCTCGCGTGATAAAACGTAGAGGAAAGAGAGGAGGGCTGTGATGATCAATGCAGCTGTGTGACCTTGAGTGGAGCACGTTTAAGCTTATCTTTTGAGTTACGTTGATGGGCCACGATTAATTAAAGCATCTTTGACGATGGCTGATGGGTGGATGGAGAAAAACGATCGCCAGATTACTGAATATCTTGAAAATTTATGGGAATTCCTCGGGGCGAAGTATCGATGTCGCGTTGAAGAGAGTTTACTGACCGAAAAATTACTTCTTGCCGTTCAAAATCCATGTCCGGATGAATCAATGTTTGCCCGCTGATAAACAAATAAGGTCATTCGACATTGCCAGCACTTATCATTCAAAGAATTATGAGCTAACGATGGGGATTCCAATTTTTAAATTCATGCAATAGACAGCAATTATTGGCAAATGGCAAGTTCTACTATCTAAACTTCAAATTAATTTAAATATTTTTATTTGTTTTTTCTTGCTTTTGTTTCTATTCTGTTATTAATTTGCAAAAATTTACTTTAACGATTAGCTAAGAAATGGATTTAACGAAACGAACGAGATTCCATGAAGAAATTACATGTTTATATTCCGCTATTCGATGGGGTGAAATAATTTTATTGTCGATGATATATTTCGAAATATTAGTATAAACATCTTCCACAATAATATGGAAGCTAATAATTATAATGAAGACCACTGCAATAATTGCTCTCTAATAAAAGTTGATTTATAACTTAATCGGTTTGATAGTCTTTAATTATACATATTAAATATAATATTCAAAGAAATACATTTTTTTTTCTTTTTTCTTTTTTTGCGTAAATTTAATTTCAAATTTAAATTTAAAATGATGTTTTTACCTTTACGCCGACCAATTTCACTTCATCCGTATAAATATTAAAATAATAAATATTAAAAGTAACCTAAATGAATTTTATACGTAATATAATATCTTATGTATTTTTAAATATTTAAATTTTGTAAAATAATATTTCAAGATATAATTTCATAAATAATAATTTTATTGTATTATCTATAATTAATTTAATTTTCAACGTTAATAACGATTTGCACACGCTATGGCTCTTCTTTTTCCTTTTCTTTCTCTTACTTTTTTTGTTTTGTTTTTGTTTTTATAACGAAAGCTAAATGCTAAGATATATTTACAGTTCATATAACGTTTAATATTTTTAACTAAAATATTGTATAATAAAGTTAACAACATAAGAGGTTTTAAAATTTTAAATAAGTCCCTTGGACTTTACAACTATGGTTACTATGATAATTAAAAGAATTCCTTTTGCGCTTATACCACACGAACATTGATAGAGTAAAATTAATTTTTCATCATTAATGCCAATGGAACGATTATAATTTAGTCATCGGAATTAATATTTTGTAAAATTTGAAATCGCTAAGTTATTATCATAATTTCAAACTTTAGATTTCCAATTAAAATGAGCATATGTTTTCCTTCCTTGAATTAAAGGATAATTAAAAATTATATTAAATCCGTAAACGCCTTCAGTAAAGTTCTTCAATAATTCATCACTATCACTCGTACTATAATTACGTGTGTACCCTCTAAAGTAATTCTATAGACTTAATCTAAAAAAAATACAAATACCAATTCTACTAAAAATTTTTGGACTGGAAATTTTTGGACGGGTGGGGAAATGATTAATTATAAATAAATATATTTTAAACTACCTCTAATTTTAACATAAATATCTTACGAAAATTTCTCTTCTACTGCCTACGGGAAGATACATCTTGAACAATTGGAAAGCTCGATCTAATTTCTTTAACATCGAAATATAATCTTCGTGTACGAAATTACTAACCGGGCGTATTCGAAGCAACGAGACACCTATATATATATATATATATATATATATATATATATATTGGTTGCATATGTATATATGTATATATATTTGTTTTTTTTAAATGTACGCCGTGAGGAAATGCCATATTTTTTAGTCGTCTCGGTGCTTGAAAGTAACCCTATTATTAATCGGCTAAAGTATATATACCTAAATAAACATGTAAAGGCGAATTCCTCTGAAATATCACGAGCGATAAAAATTGGTAGTATAAGGAAATTTGGGATAAATAAAGAGTGGAACTCACCAAATTGTCGCTATGAAGGTGATGATGCGCATAGTCCCGGTTACCACGCGAACCTCCAGGTGAGCTGTGACGTCGGCCGCCTCTATCGCCATCCATGTCGTCGTAATCCTGAGGTGAGATCGCGTCCACAAAAAAGCGTCATTGTTAAAAATGTAAATACAGCATTTAATGTGTACGGAGTCTTATTCGAAGGATCTTTCGTGACTTATATTATAATATCTGATTCAACTCGAGAATGGCGCGATTAATGATTTGAGCGTGTAATGAAAGTTACAGGGGCGGGCGGGGGAGGACCAACAAACTGTGCTCGTGTCGTTAACGGTATCTTTGTTTGTTTTTTTTTGGTTTTTTTTTGTTTTTTTTTTGGTTTTTTTTTTGTTTTTTTTGTTTTTTTTTGTTTTTTTTTTTGTTTTTTTTGTTTTTTTTTGTTTTTTTTTTGTTTTTTTTTTTGTTTTTTTTGTTTTTTTTTTTTTGTAACAGAAAACCCGAATTTTATTATTGTACCTGATAATCGTACTCGTCATCGTTGGAGAGTGCGAGGTCGGATGTTGCAATCTCATGCTGCTGAGTACACCTGCATCCCCCACTGCAATGTTCCGAAGTGCTGTTTTTCAAAATTTACTTTTCTTTCATATTTTCTTGGCAGATTTTGCTTTTAAAGGTCAATCATTCGTTAAAATTATTCATAGTTTTAAAAAGCATTCGACTCATACGGATACTTTTCTTACGTCCTTTTTCACTCATACGTTCAACTTTTATACGCGTACTTCGACTGTTTAAGCTTGGACTACGAAAACTTTACTCGATTCTGCTTAGAAAGAAATGTTGACCGATGCACCGACATTTTAACATTCAATGGTTCAATACTTAGAATGGATTGCCGCTATAATTATTTAGAATTTAGAATGTAAAAGAAAATTAATCGTCAAATTTTTCCAACTTGTAAACCTTTTGTAATAACTAACTTCACATTATTATAATTATTAGATTTCATATAAATTTATATTTATTTTATATCACAATTCAATTCGTTTGTAATAAATACTATTAATTATCGATAATTTTTTTTAATAATGGCTATATAAAATTTGTTATTGCTCCATGTAAGAGGTATAGCATTAATTTTTAATTCGTATCCTTCATAATACAATTAATTAAGCCTAACCGTATATTCTAAAATCAATATTAGTATTATTTAAAGAAGGGCTTTTGTTATATTAAATAAAAAAGTTCTAATTTATAATGAATTTAATCGAATCAAATATTAATTATTTTGCAATTATGCAATCAAGTCTATACAAAACATTATATTGTATGTTCTTGTAATTGCTTCAAAATATTTATAGCTAAGTATTTGAATGAAAATTTAAAAATAGAAATAGTCATTCGGATATTACTTAAAATAAAATAGGAATTCGACAAAATTGAAGTTTATTCGATTTATTTTATAAAAAATAGATATGATTTTCTAGTACATTACTAAAATGAATCAATCTTCTTTTTTTTTTTTTTGTTTTATTATGTATCAAATAAAATTATCTTCAATAAAGATAAAATTTAAGTTCTGCTTCAATTGTACAATGATAATGCAAATTTCTATAATCTTGTTACGTGAATTGACTTTTATTCAATTGTAAAATATCTGAACTTTGTTGAAAATTCTTATTAAAAATGTTTTTATATTCGAAGCTTACGGAAAAGACTATTAAATAATATTTTTAAAAATTCAATAAATTTATGAACTGAATGTATGTTGAAATTAAAATTAAAAATTACAAATTTTATTTACTATATATATATATATTACATGAATATTCAAAGTCAAGAGGAATTTATTATTCAACAGAAATTAAATAAATATGTAATGCAAGATTTTTCGTTCGGTAATTATGATTATTGTGGAAAAAGTATCGCTCCTCGATTATAAGATTACAAATACAAGTATAGATTGATAAAGTCTTGTTGTAATTTTGTTTATTAATTTTTCATTTCCACCCCTTCTTCTTTCTCTCTTTCATATATGCATGTCATTTATTACTCTCAGTGTGTATTTCTCTCCTTTGTTTTTACTCTCCCTTTATCTTCATCTATTTTACTATCGGTTATATAATTTTATTTTCATCAATAATAGTAATTTATGTGTGAAACACCGAGCAGCCAACACAAGGGCTCGTGTGATATTAATATTTAACCTTGAAATAGCCCTAATAAATTCGCATGATGATTAGCAAAAGAAATAACGTGGCGATGTGTTTAATATGGATTCCAAACCATATTATCGCTTAAGAGAAATGGCGATGTCGCGATAAATACCAGTTTCCTTCGTTTTCAGTGTTTTATGATATATAAAATATCATATCTGACTCGCGCGCATAATTGAGTAAACAAATCGAGAATTTTCATAATTTAATTGGATAAATTAATATTTTTTCTATGATAGCAGAAGACTTTAATTTTTCGGCTCTATTTCTGTACGAGAAACAAGTATAATTGTCATCTAATGAGGCTGACAACATTTTTCATCTGGTTTTTAAAAGAGAAAGAGAGAGAGAGAGAGAGAGAGAGAGAGAGAGAGGGCGAATTTTAAAGATGGTATGAATTTAATTAAGGGGGCAGAAATTGTCAGAATTTAAAAAAGTTTTGTATTTCAAATAAAAGTTAATTTGATATGTACACGTTCATTTTCAATGATAGGAGTAAGAATATTTTTATTCATTTATTATATGAACTAATAAAAATTTAATTAATTAGAAATAATAATGTAATATTATCAATTATAATATTTATTAAAGTGTTTTATGAATATATTTTTACCCTATTTAGATAAATATACTATGTAATATTTGCAATTATATTTAAATTATATTTTTCAAATAATATTTAATATAAATACTTGTTTTATAAACAATAGCTTTCTTAATACATTTATATATTAAGAGCACACGCATGCGTATGTATATATGCGAGCGTGTGTGTGTCTGTGTGCGTATGTGTGTAATTATGTTTCGATATCTTGTTTACTCATAGCATATATTAATATTAATTGTTTGTTTATTTTTCTCAATCTCAAGGATTGTGCATTTCATAACAGATTACACGCAAGATTAATTAATTAATAGTTTTGTATTAGGCGCTTGTATTAAAAACAAATTTTTGTATGTAATTTATAATGAAAAATTTTTTTTTTAAACGAATAACCATAACATTTTTACAATTAATTTTATAAATATTAATTTTGTATGATTACTCTAAAAAATATTTATGATATTATTCTAATTTAATGGGAATGAAATACTTTGCTAATTGCTTAATATGATAAGTAGAATAATTTGAGTTTATTAAGAACATTATCTAACGAGTACAGATTTAAATTTTCATGGAATATCCAAGGAAATGTCAAAATTATTAATAAAGTAATATAAATTTAGAATTAACGGATTTAAAATCTTTTCGTAGCGATATTTAAATTTATTATATATTTATTAAAGAAAATTAAACAATCTACGTTTATATGTTTTTAACATATTTATAAAATATTAAATATATTACCATATTGTAATTCAGATCTTATATTGTATTAATTTGAGATATTTAAATAAAATTTTTAATTCTAAATTCTAATGTATTAAATAAGGGCATTAAAACACAATTATTAAGCTTAAAATTAAGGAGCATAACATTTTTAATTTTTATTCTTTTTCTTTTTAAAATCTAGTTATAAATCTAGTTACATATTTCCGTTGAAAATTAAAAATCTGTTATAAAAATTATACTGATAGTTAAAAAAAAATATTGTTAAATCATCCACGATATTGCTATTTCATCGTCTTTATCTATCATATTTTCTCTACAATGCAATTTAATAACTGTACATCCTAGATTGAAGTGAAAAGTGTAGTATATCTGATACTTTCAACAACTCTTTCATATCAGATATTTCCTTTCACGTTTGATTTGCATCGATAAAAACTATTTTCTTTAGTTTTACAAAAATATCTTTTAACGGTAATTACTTTCAGCCTTAATTCTTTTGAAAATACGTTGGTCATAAAATAATCAAGAAATATTCAGAGAAAGACAAGAAGGTACGTATGAATATTAAAACAAGTTTCGAGATCTCACGATGTTTTACCAATGCAATATTATAATTGCTAAATATGAATTATTAAAACTTTATGAAAATACTTAAAGTTTTTTATGGGCCATTTAAATAAATCTATTATTAATTTATAGAACTTTCAATGCTATTTCTATCCTTATAATTATAATCATACGTACACTCGAATAATCATGACTTCATACAATATGAAATATCTATTCTATATGTGAAAAAATATTAAAATTACACAAATAAATTTTTTCCCCCGAATAGTTGATTATTAAATTTAATTTCTTTATAGATTATAATTTAAGATGTTCCATACAATAGGAACTTTACATTATTGTTATTATGTTAAATATTTGGCAATTTCTTTTAAAATTTATAAATGACATTAACTGACAAATTATTGCAACTAAAATAGAAATTGTTTAATCATTTTTTATTAATAAAATGAAAATAATAGTTTCATATTGATCGCTTCAAGCTTATCGGAATGTTCATCTAATTATCAAGACAGTAAGAAGTAAAAATGAGTATTGTATAGTAGAGAAGAATAAAAATAGAAGATGAAGAAGAAGAGTCAGAAGAATGAATAATCGAAAAAGAAAGAGAAGGTCGACCTGCTCGTGTACATTTCTGGCCCGAGGCCGCTGTCCTCGCTGGGCGAGCGGTATTCCTGGTTATCCCGAGGCTGAAGTATTCTCATCACTCCCAAGGGATCTCCTTGAATGTCCATCAGCTGTCTCGGTTGGCAACAGGCACCGCTTATGACCCTCTGCGAGAATTCACCAAGTATCCATTCAAATTTCCCGCACTTACGCTTTCCTTCTTGATCCCCCCCCACCTCCTTCGTTCCTCAGTCGCAACAATCTCTCTCTCTCTCTCTCTCTCTCTCTCTCTCTTTCTCTCTCGCTCACACTCTCGCTCTCAAATATAACAAACAAACAAACAAACAAACAAACAAACAAACAAACAAACAAAGAAACAAACAAATAAACAGATAGACAGACAAACAAATGGAGACAAAGATGCTTAGAGATGCCTAGAGCTTGCCCGAGCTTTCGATGCTTATTATTCCTTTATGTTACAGTTTCTTCTTTTAAACTTGAATTTGAGTTTGAGCGATAGGCGCGTGAGACTGAATTTAAAAACAGACTGCCTGTTATCGATGAAAAATTCGTTCTTGATTTTTGTGTAAATGATGAAGCGAAGAGTGCGCTAGAGAGTGTTATCGTGAGCGTGATTTCGTTGAAAAAATGCAGGTTTGACTTGGGGTGAGTAAGAATTTGAGCGTCATGTCAAAACAGCAACGGCTCCTTCATTAATATCACCTACAAATGAATGATGAATGATCAATGGATGTCGACCTCTGCAACATTCTAATAAATCAAGTACGTTAATTAGTCATTATATTGCCGTCGAGGTGAAAGGTGATGGCTACTGATTGAAATGATAATATATCCTCTGTTTTTTCCTCTGTATTAAGCAAGGAAACTCGAGCAACCTCATCGTATCGGATATAAAGTGCAACTCCTAGAAATAAGATAGATCTCGTTTATTCGCTTTACTTCGTCCTAAGAGGATACACTGAGTATTTCCTTTGGTTAGAATAATATTATCATAAGCAAAGCCAACGAATCTTGTAGGAATGTCGAAAAAAATTGTTTGATATTGAAATATCGTAAAGCAGAATTGTGAACCGAAAGAGTGTAGACATAATCTATTTTAAAATACACTTGGCTAAGATATTTTGAGACTTGTACATATTGATAGTTGATGTAAAGATGTTTAGTGCGCGATTTATGGTATGAAAATTAAATTAGAAAGTTCTTCGTTAATGTACGCCATAAAAGAACATTAGGAAAGTTTTACATAATATAAGTAATTTGTATGTAATAGAAACTAAACAAAACAAAAAAAAAAAAAAAAAAAAAAAAAAAAAAAATTAGTACTATGAAGTTATATTCCTAAAGTAATTTGTCTAAGATATTGAGATAATTATTAACTGAAAATTAATGATAAAAAATGAAAAACTTCTTTTCTGTCAGTTTTAACAATAGATTTAACAATAATCAGTTAGAGTATCAAAGATAAGAAGAATTAAAAAATTGAGAACAATTCGCATAGAAAATGTTATACATTAAAACATTCGCACAATGTATTTTTAATTTCCGTGAAATTTAAATAGAAAAATGTTGAAATTCTAATGTACTCTAATTTCATTTAATACATAAGTTATTGAATATATCGTTCAGTTACAAATCTTTTAAACTAGTTCTTTAAACTAAACAATTATTTTATTAACATAGTTGTATTAATCATTATAATTTATTTACAAATTTTAATAGTATAAAAAAAAAAAAGCCTTAAAAAAGAAGTTTGAAAAAGCATCAGACATCAGACATTTTTTTGAAGTCAATTTAAAATCTCGGTTAATAAAAGTAACAAAATTTTTGATCGGAACTGAAATGAAACACTTTAGCGGAAAGGTCAAAAAAAAAAGAAAAAAAAAACATCATTATCGAGATTAACATTAAATACCATCGTTCTCAAGCCACAATTACAAGCCTATCTGAGCGCAGATCAAAAAATCATCAAATCGAAACTGGTCTGCAAACGTGTAATTTTTTTGGCTATCATTTTTTACTTTTTAAAATTTTTAAATATATTTTTACAAAATACTTATGCAAAAAATTTGCAACAAAAAAACTCACTTATGCTGAGTTAAATTAAATTTCTTCCTCAACAGTACATTAATGAAATAAAAGAAATACTCTTTTTTTTTTTTTTTTTATAAAAACATCAATAACCTGCATTTTATGCAATAGAATGATTAAGTTCAATAATAATTTTGGAGTTCAATCCTACAATCGAGCAACAATTTAATTCAGTTTACTCTTATCCTTTTAATTAAGTGTAATTATTTTATATTAGGTATTTTAACGATTCTTTTAAAAAATAATAATAAGCAACGATTAAGATGGCAGTTTATTATAATGTAAATGTAGAATAATTCAAAATCATTCGATACATCTTAAATATTGCAGAGTTTAATCATATGACAATACCAATTTTAATCATACATTGTAAATATCATTAAATACAATTATAGGCTGACGCATTATAAGTCATGAATGTACATTAAGTCAATCAGCATTGTATACACCTAATATTTTTAACTTGAAAATCTAATTGAAAATCATTTATTTATGGTTACAAAAAAAAAACCTATGAAATTATAAAAATAATTAAGTATTAAAATTAATTAATTAATTAATAAAATAATATAAAAGAATAGTAAAATAATGTTTTTTTTTTTTTTTTATGTCATGTTTTAATAATTTACTCGGTATATTACGATTATTTTATGATGATAGCTAAGATTTATCTTAAAGATTTATATTGATATTTATTTAGATGAAAAATTTTTATTCAACAAAATTATTTTAATTAATGATTAATAATTAATAATAAAACAATTATCATTTACGTAGTGGTTTCAGTTATGTACGATACATTCAATATTTTGATTTTATCATCTCTTTTATTATATGTTGATTGCACAATCGACATAAATATTTATTAAAATTGTGTGAATTCAAAATGTGTAGCCAAATATTCAATAAAGGGCCGTTTTAAAATTAATTACTTAGGTGCGTTATATATTAAAATTGAATTTACAAACCGTATTGGGCAAAATAGAATTATAGAGTATGAAAGATTTACAATATATAAATTACCGATTTTCTTTATCTTGATTTTATTAAATATATAGTGATACAATATATTATAGTAATGGTATTGATATAAAAAAAAAATAATTTTTTTTTTCATTCATGTATTTATATAAAAGCGCACTTTTAAGTAAGTAAGTAATTTACAATTTTTTATATAGACTTTGCTAAGTCAATTTTTTATAGCAATTTAAGGCAATTATGTTATTAGCGTAACAGCATACTACTCTATGTTGTTTAATCAATACTTGAAACTTGATTATCGTTTCTCTCCTACTTGTATTTTAGATCAATATTCATGTTTAGGCCCATTTTTTCTTCTTTCTTTCATCTTTATTCTTTTGCTTAATTTATTCGACATTATGACAAATTACTTATTGGAATATAATTTTTTTAAAACATTTCAATACGTAAAAATTTTCGTAACATATAAAAGTTTTTCTCTATTATTCTTGATTAATGCAAGTAAATAGTTATTTGTCAAAATTTATTTTTACATATTTATAAATTTTTAATTTTCAATTCTATAAAAATATATTAAATACACGATAATTATTGAATTCTTTATAAAATTATCGATAAAAAAAATGTTTTGTAATTGATCAAGTTTATATTCTTCTTATGTGTAGCTTAAAATTTCTTTTTTCCTTTATTTTTACTATCAATGTATTTTACAATTCTTAAATCATTAAATCTTTAATTATTGATCACAGAATTATAAAAGGCACACTTAATATGCTACTTAAAGCAATATAATGAGTATTGTAATTATTATCAATTATATAATCCATATAAATACAATATTATATCTACATTGTATATACATTATATACAAAATTATATATACATATATAATAAGCAAGTATAGTTATAAAAAAAAAAATAAAAAAATAATAAGTACAATTTAATTGTATTATGATTTTAGTTATATTGATCGGGATAAAATATTTTCAAGCATAGATATTTAGGCAAAAATATATATTCTATGAAAAAATCAATTTAATATACATTTATATATTTTTGAAATGTGTATTATATATACAATATATAAAATAATAACATGAAAATGAAGTAAAAAAAGAATACGATATAATAATTATGTTGTATAATTATAAAATTAATTTACAAAAAAAAAATTATTATAACTATTCGACCCTTTATAAGTTTATTGTTATTGTTGTTGTTGTTTTTTTTTTAATTATTTCATTAAATACCAGTATATTTAGGCACTTGTATTATTTTATTACTAATATAAAAAAAAAACTCTTTTGGATCGGCTCACAGTGTTACTGCTTTAGTTTTAAATACAATATCATTGCTTGTTTTCCATAAATAAAAATTTTTTCCAATAATGATTAAAAACAAATAATAAATAAATAAAAAAAAAATAAATGATTTTCAGATAGTGCTGAGAATTATTTCATTTTTATAAATAAAAGTGTTTTTACACTGTAACAAGTAAGTGCTGCAGGATAAGCTTCGAAGCGGGACAATATTTATGCGACTTCTAGGCATTTATATTTAGTGATCTCAGTATCGTGTCACAAACTTATATATCAAGGAACTTTGCAGTGAATTGCATGCTGCATCAGTAATATATCGTGTTCTTATATATAAAATGTAGATACGTGTCAGACAAAAGCGGGCATCATTAATATAGGAATTTGTAGTTTAAGCTGGACCTTGAAATGCCTAACATTGTTAATAAGCAATAAGTACCGCTCCTAAAAAGTCCCACTAAAGAGTCTATGCGTATAAATAAAATTCTTTTGTAAGTATAGCTGATTTTTTTTTTAGTAAATTAATATTAAATTTAATTACAAAGAACTAATTGATAATGCAGCAATAGCACAAAAAGTACATTTCACATTACTATTTAAATTTTAAATATACAAAAATACCAGAATATAATCTTTAATGTTTAATATGTATGTTATAATGTAAAGTTATCGACTATATTGATTACTAAAAAATCGGAATCTTTATATGAAAAATTTTGTTTCATTAAAATTTCGTTCATTTTTTTATTACGCATCTTTTAACTTCGTGATTCGAGTTACTAGTCGGTCGTATAAGTATTGCACGAGGAAAAGGATAGAGCATTTGATTAACTCGTGCGAATATTTAAATAGTATACTTAAAAAAAAAAGATAGATTAATTGTGCATTCGTATAATTATTGGGGCAGTGTCTATGTTAAGGGAGTAATAAGGCGCGTTACGTCGTTTTTCCAGATTTTTCCTCTTTGATCTACAAACCCTCGAACGCCCGTTGAGCCTATTACTAAACTGATTTGTGTTTGATCCATATTTTTCCGGCCACCACATACACGAAGGTCCTTATTTTATCTCCTATCCTTCAACGAGACGTTCCATATGGTCCGTTTAGATATTTAGACGTCGATTGATGCATCTCGCACTCCTCCAATCGATAACGAGTCTCATAGAGTCTCTCGATCACGTTTGCCTTTTCTCAACTCCCTGATTTTATGGTTCTTTTTCACGAATCATCCGATTTATGAATCGTTTTATTCTTCTCCTTCCTCTGTAATCGTTCTATTATCGATTGTTTCGAATGCAATTTTAAAGGTAGGGTATATTAGTAATCTAGTCATATACGCACAAATACAGCTGAAAGAAGAGCAAAGTAATTATGGATACGAAGGAACTCACGTGACGCGTTTCGTTGATCTCTTTTGTATTTCTCAATACGAATACGGGAATTTTTCATTTAAAGTCTACGCAACAACAGCAAGGCTTACCACCTTGGGTATTGCTCTGAAAAACATTGGCCTCCCGAGTTTTAAAGGTATTTTTCCATACTCGGACAATTTCGCTTCTAATAAGACTATATATAATATATAATATATCATAAAATATCTTAATCAATAAACAAATTAATAATAATTTAAAAATTATTCGATACTACATTGATATATGATGAGATATTAATTATGCGCATGTACGATGTTATAAAAAAAAAAAAAAAAAAAAAAAAAAAAAAAAAAAAAAAATGAATTATAGTTATTTATGATGATTATAAATATTGTGTAATAAACTTTTAATAGACTTTAAATATATTACCGATTGTGTGATGGTAATTGTTTGATTATGGTTGTTAACCACAAAATTGAATATATCTGCGTAATACGTAACAGTGACAATTTATTTGTAAACAAATATTGCGTAAAAATGTTGTATTAATTAATACATTCATGTTTTAAGCATAAAATAGTAACTTTTTATGAATTTATTTACAGTTCAATAGATATTATTGTTATATTATTAACACATTATGTAATAATACCAAAATTTATGTATTATTACTACTTATTAATTATGTCAAATAAAATTTACAATATATTATGATGAATTATTTAATATACTATGTAGATTAGTGTAATTGACTGAATTAGAAACACTAATGGAAAAATGCAATTAATATTGATGAATATTCATATTTTTAAAATAAATTCAGTGCACATTGTGCCCAAATGATTTAATTAATTGGAACTAAATTTTGTAATTTCAATGATAAATATATTGAATATTTAATATATATTTAATATTTAATTGAATAGTATTATCTAATTACTAAATTTATTTTAAGATCCAAAAGATAAAATCAAATTATTTAAGCAATTATTAAACAGTCAATAGTATAGAAAAATTTGAATTTATTATATGATAATTTGTTTATTATAAAAGTGAAAAAATTAAATTCGAAAAAAGAAAGTAAATTTTATATGACAATGTTTTTAGATATGAATAAAATTAAAAATACTTGTTCACTGACGTATTTGAATTGAAATACTTCTTCAAATTTTTTTATTTCCATAAATATTTCAAAACTGTCTAATTTATTTCATCGTTATTTATTAAGAAATTATATCTTTTGAATATCGAAGTTATTTAAAAAAAAAATAATTTTTTTTTCATACAAATTAAGCTTAAACTTCGGATCTTACCTATGTAATGGAATTAGAAATTTTCTCTGAGCTCTCCCCCAACGATAAGCCATTAAATTACATATATATATATATATGTGTGTGTGTGTGTGTGTGTGCGCGCGCGCGCGTGTTCGTGTGTGCACGTAGACACACAATTGTGCATCTTTGCGTAAGTGTGTATATAGATCACTTTATAAAAGGGAAAATAAAGTACGCCCTGGAATAAACTTCACTGTAAAATTTGAAAGATAAAAGAAGAGAGATAAAAAAAAATGAACAGTGATAAAAGAGAATGAAAAAATGAGGGAAAAAGAAAGTTTGCCAGATAAGTAATAGTGTACAGTATGCATAGGCAATGGTAAAAAGAATGAGGATACGTGTCTAAGATTCTCAGTCATGAGATACAAAAGAGTTATATCATCGATATGTAACGAAGGCAAATATATCTGCGTGTCGACGAACGTGAGATAATGTGAGTTGAATATTTTTCTGGGTCAAGAGGACTTACCGGAAGCTCGTGTAACGACGGCGTAACTATAAGGTCCGAGTTGTGCACCCTGTCACCTATTCTCTACAACAATACAAATGCACGTTTACATACTACGGATACTATAAAGCACCTGCTTGGTTATAATTTTAAGGTGCGTATTTATAAAAGGTTAATGCAAACGTTAAGAATAGGATACCGGGATTAATCGTTAATGAGCTTATTTATAACGGAGCGACGTCTAATATTGGCTATTGCGCCCGTTACGAGAGATCATCTATTCATTATTCTTGAAAGGATGATAGAATCGCGTTTCATGGTAAATCCAGGACATTAAATGTCCGAGGTGTCGTAGCGCGGAAGCGGCTTAGGCCGTAGTACATGCGAGGTCGTAGAAATCGACAGAGTTGATCGGCCGGGTGGGGAGGGATGAGGGCCTCGAGTACGAGGACAAAAACAATAGACTCACCCTGGAAAGCCTAGGTCGATAGACAAGATCGTCGAAGGCCGGCCGATCCTTGCTGTCGACAAGTTCTCGCAACTCTGTGAGCAGCGTAAGCTTCTCGTGCGTATTGAGGAGGTCGCCAAGACTCCCGATGAGGTCTTCGATGGTAAGACGGCGGTTCCTGTAGTCGGCGAGAAGCTGCGAAAGCGCGGCTCTTTCGCTACGGGCCAGAACAACGCGCGCCTTCTCCTCGACCATCGCGGCCGTCGCTGACGATATTGGATGCCCGCCTCGGTGCCTCCACTCGCTCAAGCTGCTACTAAAAAATAAAAAATAAAAAAATAAAAAACACGGTGTCAATGACAAATAATTGGATTAGCGTGCGAGCCTTCCTTCCCGCACATCGCGCGACTGACTTTCTACAAATATTACATCGCGTAGCCGTATAAATGAATAAATTAGTTCTAATGCACATTCCATCACTCCCTTAATATAATTCTCTCAAAGCAATTCATAAGTTCCGATTTCATAATCGTAATCTAAAATTTCATCGGCAAAGTTTTATACGATTTTATGGACTTGCAATAAACTTGTGTCGTACGTAATGTCGTGGGGAGGGCAATTTTGTTTGTTTAATAATCTTGAATTTATATTGAAATACAAGCTATCATACGACATCAATTCATTTCAACGCCATTGACAAAAACAAAAATGTGCCCCAATATAAACAACGAAGTTTATAAAATTTAAATAAAATCTTTTATTTGCAATTGAATATCTAGATATGATCCGTCATACATTAATAATTAATATAGCTAATTATAATCTATTTATGAGTACAAAAAACTTTATTGTTTGAGTATTCATTGTGATTCATTTCATTTTTAAATATTTCATTTATGAAAGTATCTAAATAATTGCATTATTTCTCAAACATTGGACATAATTAATTATACGCATTAAACTAAATTTTAATAAAATCCTAATAAATGTTCATTTGTAAATACATCGATTATTAAGGTTCAAAATTTATTAGTAATGCTCGAAAATTCCATTAAGTTTCCTTTTCAATTTTCTTTAAAATTGCGGAATATCAATGGCAAGCGAATCCATCTCAGCGCGAAAATAATCTATTCGATTTGCGAAATTGCGGTTTCCTTTCTTGATAAACTTAGACTAGAGCATTAAAATTTTATCGTACCCATAATTTAATTTACAATCTACGCATATTAACCAACCGATGAAAAAAAAAAAAAAAAAAAAAAAAAAAAAAATTTTCATTGAATATAAGCTTTATTTTGCGTTCGCGTACTAATAGAATTCTCGAATTGTTCTCAAATGGCTTTTATCATCCTCATCTCCACTTGCGACAAGGACAATAATTCAGAAAAAAAAGATCCAGCCCTTTCGATATTACTCTTGGGCATTGAGGGCGGATCAGCGATGACATTTGAATTTGAAAACGAATGAGATGAAAGATCGTGTGACGACGGAAGGAGATAGAGGCTATAAAAGTATGATAATGTTAATGATGCTAGACGCAAGTGACTGCTTACGCCGGACTTGACGGCCGATGATTTCCGGGGCTGGCGAGAAGTAGGGAATCATGATCCTGATACCTCGAAACTGGCACAATCATCGACTGGCTCGTAGTACACGAGTGCGGCACCTTGCCAACATCACGAATCAACAAACTCATCCGCTTGTTCGTCTTCAGGACCTGGACGGCTTCGTCGTGCGTCGCTTCCTCGAAGCTCTGCCCATTAACTTCGAGGATTTGATCGCCCACCTGTGTCCAACAATATGACAGAAAATATCCTAGCAATCGATCTCTTTAGCACTATGTAATTGTACTAAACTAACAATTTACTTTTTCATTAGCACATTTTATAGGGACATTGAGGGTGTAACTGTGGATATCGAGTTTATTACAACTAAATTATTCGTATTATCTCCCAAGCGAGATAACTTCTTTTTCCTCGATCGATCGTATTAATTTAATAAAGCAATTTTGCTTTTACCAATTTCATTTACCTTTATTTACTATTTGACGAATCCCACGAGACACTTAACAAAGTATTTTTAAAAAATTCAAGCGATTTATCAATTTTATTAAGTAATTGTTCAAAATCGATGAGTCGATCGAACAGATATCAATAATTTATCGTTAATAGCTTCCCGAATCAATCTCGAATAACAAGTTTTTAATTAACATACAACAGTCAAACTAACTATAATAACATTATAATATCCAAAAGATTTTTATATTTACATTATTTGTTTTATCAAAATACAGCTAAAGTAGCCTTTTTTTTTTATCATTTAATCAAGAAAGAAATTTTCTTCTATCGATGATTCTCTTTTTATCGTATATAATAAGGAAGTAATATTTTCCTTTTTATATGGCCAGAATAATTATTTTCCTTCATCATGAAAGGCTTCCATCTCTGTATACGATTTTTTTTTTTATGTAACGTGTGTTTATATTTATATATTTTTAAGTTTACTATTTCATTTTATGAAATATATTTATATTTTATAAAATATTTTATAAATTCATGTAAAAGTTTCATTCGATATATTATTATACTATTATAAGCCATAGTTTTTTTTTTTTTTTTTTTTTTTTTTTTACACAAGAATAAAATATTATATTTATCGTGATATTTTTATAATCAACTTAAGTAACGAAAACAACACGAAAAAATCATATTTCATTGACAATTGTAATAGTAACAATGTATGATAGTTATTTTGATAACTATTTGAGAGGATTTATTGTGTGAGAAGTTAAGATTTTAGTGATCGTTTGGATTTAATTACGACAGTTTAAAGAAATGAAACGACAATGTTGTTATTTTTTATATATATTAAACATATTTTATATATATTATATATATTTTATAAATATATAAATATATTTAAATAATAATATATAAACATATTTTATATATATTTTATATATATTAAACAATAAACGACAATCGTTTATTGTTTTTTGACTATTTTTTTCGCTTATTTTTTTTTTAAGATTTTCATATGAATTACTTATATACTAAATTATTATCTTGAACATATTTAGTACGTTTAATTATTGTTCACCTATGATGTATGAAATTAGCTTATACTTAATGAAGTAAAATAAAGTTAGTATACGAGCAGACAGAAAATATCATAATAAAAAAGAAAAACATATTAATCGATCCGTTTATTTCAGCTAGTCCAACAATTTAATTATAATACATGTCTATCTATAATATAATTTGTTGTAGAGTTTAGGATTTCAAATTTGTATTTATTTTACTCAAAAGATAATCTCATAAACCATTTCAAATATCTATCTATATATATATATATATATATTCTGTTAAATTAACCGTATTAATTTCTAGAATTTTAATACATGAGCAATTATTTATGACCTACATTGGTCATTGAGTAGTGTATGATTTAAAATTATAGACTTTTAAATTATTGAGTAATTACATCATTTTATCTTTATTTTATTAATTTCAATTTTAATGTAACATAATTTTGGTTTACTAAAACTTACAAGAATTGATAAACAAATATTAGACTGTACTCTGAACCACTATTTTGAATACTTTCATCTTGCGTTCATTTGCATCCGTTAATATAAATATTTCTACCAGAAATGTAACATCAATGAAAATTTACTTCAAATCGTACATACACTACCTCAATATACAAAATAATTCCTCAATACGTTAAAGCTCTTGTAGTTGCTGATATGATACTGCAATAAACAAAATATATAAATAAAAAATGAAAGCGAGAGAAAGGACGTATATAAATGACAGCAGAAACAATCAGTCGGGGTGTATGCGATAAGATAATCGAGTAAGAAAAAAGTGTGACAGGTCGATGGAGTAGCGGGTGGATAAAATCCAGTGAAGTTAGTGAGCAAGGGGATAGATAAGATAAATTGATGGTCATGATAAGTTTACCAGTAGACCCGAGCGGTCGGCGACGCTGTCCTTGTCGACACCCGTGACGTAGATGCCGAGGCCGTACTCCAAGCCACCCCGGATCATCAGACCCAACGACTGACCGGGCTCGATGCACAGGTCGATCTTGCGGGTCCGCGGCCCATAGCGTGGTTCGCGCGAGCTCAACGGTGGCGGCGAAACGGGCCTTCCCTGCCTATCCATCCAGCTGCAGGTCTGCTGTCGATTCTGGGACCAAATCGAATGTCCACCCCGACAGCGCGGATCGATCGCCGGTCCCCGTACAGTCATACTCAGGGTCCGACAGGACTTCAGCATCTGCACAACCAATCAGCGACTCGTTACTCCTTGAGGCTTTTGGGATCGTATCTCGTTATGCAATTGTTGGTGGCCGTTATTTCGCGGCTATTTTCCGAACGATTTCCCGCCACTCGATCGATCGCCAATGCCGATTTAACCGGCATTTTTACGCGCTGCCATGAAGGCGGATTAAAGCTTTGTAAGAGCCAAAGGTTAAACGAATTAAGTCTCAAATCGTATTCATTAAATAGAAATGTTTTACAGGCCTTTAAAAAACAGATATTTTATTTAACTCTGAAAGGAAATGCTCAAATAAGGTATGAGACTTAAATTTTATGATGCATTGTAGGTTATGTGAGTACCATTTAATTTATAAAAACGTATGGATTTAATTGATGGGACGCTTAAACTAAATTGAAAAGCATAAAACTTTATTTCATACAAAAAATTCTCAACATACTATATACATGTAGAAATAATTGTTGCTGTTATATTTGAAAATATTGTAATATAATAAATATTTATGACGTTAAAATTTGATTAAAAATATAAATATTTTTAAAAGGATCAATTTTATTGTTTCTAATTACAATTAACGTACAAAATTACCAAACATTTAATGCAAATTATTCCTAGGATTTTATCTTCGTTACCAACTTACATACTCAACTTACAAGAAAATATTAAAAACAATGTTTCTATTTTTTATAGGAATTTTTCAGATATTTAATAAGAAAAGTATTTCAATTTTAATTTTAATTTAATATGAATTCATATTTATTTGGATAGTTTATGAATAATTTTTTTATTTTTTTTTTTGTTTTTTTTTGTTTTTTTTTTAAATTTAATGTATTATATTGAACTTTAACATTAGTGATATCAGTGATATTAATATGAAATTAGTAATAGTTGTACTGCGTATAAGCATATTGAGTAATGAAATTTCATTTTATTTTGGACCTACATAATATTAGATAAAAATTGATATTTTCCATCAAATAATAAACGTATAATGGCATAATATTAAGCGTCAAGTGGAGAATTAAAAATAAATAATTAAACAATTATAATATTTGTTATTGGTTAATATTAATGCAAATTAAATACAAAATTTTATAAATCGTAGAAATTTGTGCTAATAATATTTGTGAATTTATAGACTTTTATAAATGAATATATTTTACCGGAATTGTTTTATTCATAAATTTTTTAAAATATTTTTCTTTCATAGTATATTATAATATATAAAAAGTTATTGGCAAACTCGTCGATGTAAAATTTATTATTATGTATTTTGTCAGGGCATGATATTGCATTTAAGAAGATTTAAGATTGTTTAAAAATTCTAATTTCAAATTTATCGATTTATTCCAATTTCTAAATATTAAGGTACATTATAACTATGGAATTATCTTTATTTAATTATCTTTACTCTTTTAAATAAAATAAACATTATGGACGAATCAAATTTTTCTCCTATCATACTGTTAAAAAGATTTATTTTATATATCACATATTTTACATTTCCTTATACTCGGACAAAGGCAATTTATTCTTACATATTAAACTTTGCTTATACATAATTATTTATTATTTTCACCATATTTTGTATTATATAAAAAAATTATAAAAATTATTTATAATTAAAATTTTTAATGTACTTTGAATATATGTACCTAACGAGTAAACACTGTATTTACAGTCAAAGTTTTGAAAATACTTTTATACCACACCATTTTAGTCATAACTACATCATCATTTAAGCAATATAACTGAACTGAAATCTTTAGAATATTTGCTTGTATAATATAAATTTCAAAACCATAATATTATATTATTATATAGGTTCGTTTGATCAGAAATTCACAAGAGAAGTAATGTATTGGCTTTTTTAAATGAACGGACGGTACATCCCAAAGTTTTGATAGCATATCTTATCAGCTTACTGCATTAATAATAAAGAATAATTCGGTTATAGAGTGGAGTAATATATATTCAGTGTCATTATAATTATAAAATGGTTCCAAGTTAAATAGCCGATGATTTAGCTGCTCTTTCTTTCATGCCTCGGGTGCAGATTTCTTATATTTTTTTTTCCCTAATGGAAGATGAAAAGGCAATTAATGCCCAAACCGATCAGACAGTATCATCAGCATCGGAGAATCTCAAATCACCAAATTGGCTATACTCGAGTTTAATAAATGTATAGTCGGGGCATGTATATTCACAAACGATCGCGATAATTTCCCCGGTACTTCTGAATTTATTATATAAGTGCGTGTCTTACATCATATATCGGGCTTAAGCCCCGTGTGTCCACGACGTCAGGTACGGGCTAAAACGAAAGATAGAGATAGAGATAAAGATAACAGGATAGAAAGAGAAGGAGAGGGAGAGAGAGAGAGAGAGAGAGAGAGAGAGAGAGACGAAAGGAGCAAGTCCCTCACGGCGATATTGATCTTCACGAAGCCGACCCCATGACGTCACATCCTGCTTATCCTTGACCCGACATTACCGACACCAGACTCGTCCTTATGGCACTTCCTATTCCCAAATATTTCCACTTTCTACCCGACAATATGCTTGAATCCGATGATGATGTCCTGGCCTCTTTGATTCTATCTATCATCTTCCTCTTCAACTTGCGATACTAGTCAATTGCCGATCAATATGGATACGACTGGCGACAGGACGCCGAAAGCAAACACAAGAGTGAATCCTCCACGATTTTGCAGAAGAAAGACTCTCAATATAATGCAATGCAAGTTTTAACCGTTTGTGTTCACATTTTCTAACTCTTAATTCACTTATTTCATCCTATTCCAACTTAACGAGTATTCTTCGCTTTATTACAGATTAAACAAAACAATATTTTCTTTTATATAAGAACTTCTTAACATAAGTAATGCTTTATATTAAGCACTTGAATATCAATTTGTACTATTTTTTTTTTTTATCTTGAATGATATAACTATTAGTATTATTTTATGTAAATGAGTTATCATAAACAATTACCGACATTCTACAAAATTTATGGCATTGATATAAAATAATACTAAACTATAACAATTGTACAGAGAATTTACTGTTTAACTGTAATAAAATTATACAATATTAGAATGCTTTGATTTTTAATTGATTAATAAATCATTAAAATATGAAATATATTTAAATATAATAGTGATACGACATCTTCAAGTCAAGCTTTTTTTAGAAGAATAAAAAAAATTATAAAAATATTCTTACAAATATAAAAATTGGAATAGAATAACTATAACAAATAAATTTATTATTTAAAAAATGATAATACTTTGCGGAAATAGAAGAAATTTTTTTAAAAAAATGTATAAAAAATGCATAATCAAAGACTATTTAAAAATATGATTTTATATTTCTCTAAATTTAAATAAATTTGTCTCCCTCTATCTTAATAATGAGTTTTGTATGCAATCTTTACTGAACACATACAAATTACCTGCAATATAGATCGCTGTGTACATATAGTTTTTATATAAATCACTGTATAATAACTAAGATATAAGCTCCATAAATAATCAAATGAAAACATATCTAGACTGCAATGATATATTATTACATAAATACTAATTGCTCGTAATGAAATATATATATTTTAATTATATTTCTCATTAAAAATTAATTAATTTATTTACATTTTTAAAGTATTGAATTATTAAATAATTATAAAAATTTAATCTATTGTTTATAATATAACAAAAAGTTAAGTCAAGTATATAATAAAATAATCGCAATATTCAAATTTATAATAATTTTAGTTTAAAATTATTAAACTCGAAATATTTAATATTTGCATGAAAACATAAAACTATATACATTTAATAAATTGTATATCATATAAAAAAACATCTTATTAAACCTATGTTGTATTTAATAAAGTAATCGACATATTTGAATAAAGAAACTTAATATTTTAATAAATAGTTACTATATTTACGATAAAATATCTCATTTTAATTATATTTTAATTATAAAAAATTCAAGTATATTACAAAATATGTATAAGTCAAAGATATTCTAATAATCTTATATCCAAGAGTATGAAATAAATATTATAATATAAATATTATATTATATTGAATATATCGAGTTCATGCATATATGAAATAATTAAATTATTTTTATGAACTTTATTTGTTAGAAATCTGTATATTTTGGAAAACAAATAGGGATAATAAAATTCACAGTGATAAAGAATGAATTCATATTAAACATATAAATATAATGACAATTAAAAAGAATTTAATATTAATAATGATAATAAAATATGTTCAATCATTTTTATATTATATATATATATATATATATATATATATATATATATATATATATATATATATGGCACAATTCAACGAATTTAATGTTAAAGTGATCGAAGAAATATATGAAATTATATTTTAAAACTTTCAATAAAAAATTTCAAAGCTTTAGAGAGTATTTCATTTTAAATATATCCAATCGATTTATTTCGTTTTGTTGAATTTCAGAAAGTTAATTTTGCAGTAATTTCTTTTACATGTTATATGTCAATATATTTAAATTAAATACTACTATAGATAAATGTTAATAAAGCGTTAAATGTACTCGAATTAATATATATATATATATATAAGAATAAATTCTTTAAAATACTGCATAATTAATAAGAACTAGTTACATGTAAGATTATGGTTATCTTTAAAATTATATGGCATATATGACATCTTAAAAATTATTGAAATTCTTAAAAAATATTAAACATTCATATCATGTTCACATGAGTAATAATAGTTTAGATGTAAATTAATAAAGTATTAAATATAATGTGAAAATTGTACATGCTTATATAATCTATGTAAGCAACTGTATATTAATGTTTTTGAAAAATATAATATTTAATTTTTCAGCAAATAATATTCAAAATTTTTATCAAAAATCTGCATCTCATTAATAAACGGAAGAAGAAAAAAAACCAAAAAAATAAAAAATCATTTTAACGATAT